TAAAGGGCTGCGGCTGTCAGCCCAGCAGCCCGCAGCACTGCTTCCCGGCAGCACCGTGGCCCAGCATCTCCTTCCCCAGCAGGATTACCCCACAGAAGTGACTGCGGACCTCTTCACAGACAGTTTACCTGGTGCTTCTCTTCCAACTTAAAATGACTTTGCAGATGCGAGATGAGATGCGTAGATAGGAATGGTTATTGCCATCAATCGGCTTGAAAATCGAGTTCATTGTATGAAGTTGCCTACTCCATTTCGCTGTTGGGAAGGGGATTTGTTCCCTGCTTAATATTCCCGTGCTTTGTATTTTCTAGTCTTAAATCACAAAAAAAATTCAGGGCTTTAAGATAAGTCAGTCAAGAGTGATGTGTTGGTTGCAGCTCTGGTACATTCCTATTGATTTTTCGGGAAGTGGTGTAAGATGTACAGACCACCATGTAGTGGCTTTTTTTTTTTCCTAAGAGCATTTGGGGCTTTTCATCTGCTACTTTTTAATATCATTTTTGTAAGCTGTACAGATAGCAGAAAGTTATTGTCTTAGATACATGTAAATGCACTAATGCACAAAAGCTGAGAATAAAACAGTTTATGTTTTTGAGATTCAGTGATAATGTGCAAATCTTCATAAGGGAATGATGAAATCAGGGTAATAACCCAGACATTTTATACTTTGTATTGTTAGTTGCACTTCTTTGGGTGGGTTTTGTGACATTTGCATGTACGTTTTTACCAAAGAACTGTTAAAGAAAACGCTTGAACTTTAAAAATACAAATAATTGGTCTAGCAGGATCTAAACGTAAAAAAAAAATTCATAAAGCTCTGAATACAATAAATCCAGTAAGCAGCTGCCTAATACTGTAAATGATCTGCCTCTCTTGTTTCGTTTACCCTTTAGTAAATTGTACTGTGACATAAATGTCATAAGGGGAATGGAAAGTTACTCAGTAACAACTTTTTTTATATCCTGATCTTATCAGCTAGTTGAAGTTGAAGACTTTGGCTAATAAGTAATACGGCAATATATACACGGCACTGTATATTTTACATGCATATAAGACTGCTATCTTACGCAGGAGGCTGCCTTTGCTCGTTCTTGCCATTAACAGGGTAGAATTTAAAAAGTCACGACAGTATAGACAGAGAAGGAATTGTGTCCCTAAGCCCTGGCTGCTATATGTGAGTGCCTGTGCTTCGGTTGGGTGGTGTAACTGGCTTTACTGGTTTACAGGACAATGCAGAAAAACGCATGCTCTGGTCAACAAGTACAGTATAGAAAAATCAATTAAAAAACAACACCGAGCACTTACGATCAGAGAATTCATAAATAATGGTGGCCGCCGAATAGCTTTGTCAGATAAGCAAGAAACTTTTTTTTTTTAATGTCCATTTTGCTGCCTGCTTAGCCCTGAAAACCTGCTAACTTTCTTTTTCTTTGCACCAGATCCGAGACGAGTGGGGTAACCAGATCTGGATCTGTCCTGGCTGTAACAAGCCAGATGATGGCAGTCCAATGATAGGTTGTGATGACTGCGATGATTGGTATCACTGGTAAGTTCCTCTCATCCATCCTACTCTGCTGTTCCTTGGCAGATTGGGGCTATATTATTAAAAAACTTTTTTTTCTTTATGGTTCGTGATGCCGGGAATATTTAAATGGCTTTACTGTGTCCAACTTAATAATCTGGAAGATATTTTTATCTCTGTTTCTCTGGAATTTGAAAATGCACATTTTAAGCTGTAAAGGAGAGTTACTTTTTTAATTAACGGGCATTGGTGATAACAGTTGTTTTTCAAACTGCTGGGAAATATTGCTGATTCCGGTCATTTGTGAGAACTACAGGATTATGAGCATAGTGTATACAGATAGACATTTCAAATTATGAAGCGTTGTATGAACAGTAATATAAATGTCAGCTCTTACAAAAGGGTTGGAGGGAATTAATCACTTTTTAGGCTTTTTTTTTTTTTTAAACAGCTGCATAAAATCATAAGGTTTCTTGCAGGTGTATTAAAGAAGCATTTGAAATTATTTTAAATCTAGCCAGTTATACCTGAAAGTGCGCTCATGCTTTCTATTAAAATAACATTTCTTATCTGAGTGTCCTTTCGATTTTTTTTTTTCTTTTTTTGTTTCAAAGCAAGTGTTTTTTGAGGTTTCCATGCGATCATTATATTCATTAAGACAATAATAATGTAAATGCTATATTTATTTGAAGGCCAGATCCTGTCTCCCACTGAAAAGTTTAATGTCTTTGGGTAAGAAACGAAAGTGACGTTACGCCACTGAGATGGTACGGTATTTTCCTGTCCTTCACAGGCCTTGCGTTGGGATTACGACTGCACCCCCGGAAGAGATACAATGGTTCTGCTCCAAGTGTGCCAACAAAAAGAAGGATAAAAAACACAAGAAGAGGAAGCACAGGGCACACTGAAGGCTTGGCAGCGGACTGAAGTCGTGCGGTCGCCGTGGCACCTTCCGCCCTGACTCCGCCGCAGGGGGGATCCAGCCTGCTCGTGTCTCACCCGCCGTCACCGACTCTTAGGTTTATGACTCTGGAGTGAATCAGGGGCGAGGAGATGCTCTGCGTTGGGGGCTGCTGTGTTTCGCAGACCATCCGAGCCCAGGGGGTTGGATTTTGGTACATTCTGATGCTGTCTTTCACCTACCGAGGGAAATTTGCACAGAGTGATAATGAAGACTTCGGTAGTTCATGGTACCGCTCCCGCTCCTGTGGCTCGGCAGCAACAAAGATGAATGTTGTAAATACAGATATCTGTCCTATTCTTTCTCGACTTGTTATTAATCCCTCTTGAACCTTTGCAGTAAGGTGCCGAGAGGAGGAGAAAATGTAAATTGCAGTAAGTTGTAAACTGAGGAGACCTTCTGGAATGATTTCTGTAGTCTGGATGCAGTTCAGCCTCTACTCCTGCTGAGCCAGATAATCATAATGTGGAAATAAAAAGCGGCTGGTAAATATTTTTGTGATGAGAATATATGAAGCTTTTTTCCTTGATTTTTAGTACTAACATAAAATAAACACGTTCAAGCTTTTGTGATATATCTTCTATTTTTAAAAAAAAAAGTTTCTATTGTGTCGATTTTTTTCTTCCGTGTGAATTTATTTCGGTGGACCTGTAATATATTTTATACTTTGGTTTTTGTTTTTTAGTCTTTGTCAATGTACCTTTTCATTGCTTGTACATTTCATTGGTGTGTAAAAACACTTCCCATTAAAAGATTTTCACACGTGTAAATACCTGATATTTATAAAGTACTTTTTTTTTTTTTTTTAATTATTTTTTAGGGCTTGAGGATTTTCATTTTGGTTTGCCTGAGAATACAAACCTAGCAGCTATTAAAAGCCCGTGCGACGTACGCCTGTCCTTATGGCTTTAAGGGATTGGCGAGATCTGCCCCAGTGGCGCGCGCACGAGGAGTCGGCCAGCACCGTAATTAGGCCTCGATTCAGATACTTAAACATGTGGTAACTTCTTAAGAAGTGAGTAATCCTATTGCCTTCAAGGAGCCTGTTCCCACACTTCGTTGTACATGTGCTTAAATGCCTTCTGAACGGAGAGCTTAGGCCAGGGGGCTCTGCACTTTTAATGGTAGCTGCAGTGTGTTAATCTGTAGCTGGAATTGAGCTTTTTTTCTTTTTTTCTTTTTTTCTTTTTTTTTTTTTTTAAAAACAAGTGATAGTGAGTTTGCCAAAACGGTCGGGCTTGTGTTTAGATGGAGGAGATGCAGAATGGCGTCACGCAGAAGATGCGTTACTCTGCGTTGTGTATCCCCTTGGAAAGACCAATAAAGTGAATGCGAGTTGTGTTCCCCATTGAAAATGAGGTGGGAAATTGCAGAGAAAAAGAAGGCAGTATTAGACATTGTAGTGCAATGCGTCTCAGAGCTAAATAAAATATAAGAATGAATCTGGTAAAAAAATTATACCTTTTGTTTCTGAAGCGATTTTAGACTTCGTTGGTTAATTTGGGGATATTTCTACTTGAAACCATACAGTGAGAAACATCTGGTGTTTGACAATATGGCCCTTTAACCTGTTGCGCAGATATTAAGAGTTATTTTTTAAATGCATCCAAATTGATATTAATGAGAATGAATTAGTCATGTTTTTAAAAGTACCAGTCTAGTTAGGGAAATGAGGCTTTGCTGATAGAACTGTTAAATTGCAAATCAGTGGAGATATGGATAAAATTGGTTTATTAAAAGTGCACTGTTACTTTCTTTGTTCAATGCCACCTCATTTATATTCTGTCCCTGCTAATTACCAGTCAAGAAAGTTCTTGGGTTCAATTTTTTTTTTATTTTATTTTGAATTGTCGGATGTTGCAAACCTGATTCTTGTTTTTTTCCACATGTAATGTGCAGACATACAAAAACCACAGTCTTTGGTTATTTCTGGTCGCAATAATAAAGAACTAGCTTTTGGTAAGTTGTTTATCCTTTTCCTCTTCCCCTCCGTTAATCAGAACTTCTCACATTTAATCAACTAAATTATTCAGGGTGCCGCGGGAGGGCTGAACTTTGCCGTTTCGATGGCCGTCCAGCTATTTCCATGCATGCTTGTGCATTGCTGCCGCCGGGTTGGTTTCCTACCCTGGGTTTTATGATTTTATAAATGACCCCTGTGGCAATAAAACCAAAGCATCATTTTCAGGAGGCTTGTGTGGCTGACGGGATTAGTAATGGGAGAAGGGGCCCTTCACCTCCGGGTCATCGGTTTGAAGCCAGCCTTGGTCCGGAGCCGTGCAGAGCCTGCCTCCCCTTTCACTTACGCTGGTGTGTATCAGGAATCGGTGGTATAAAAGAATAATTGGCTTCCAAAAATAGTTATATCCTGAGCAGCCGTGTGGCATGGGCCTTCCTTACAGCCCCTCGTACCACCCAACTGAGCAAGCCCAGCTGCTTCCCCAGACATTTCATATTTGCTCCTATAACTTCTCGGGTTGTGTTTCTCCATAAACTCTGCCAGAGTTAGGGCTGCTCCCTTGATTCGCTGCTTGATTTTATGGTTGGGCATTTGTGTTCCTCTGAATCCATTTGTAAAGTGGGGTTTGGACACCGCCGTCCATGGGAAGAGGGCACGGCGGGTGGGTTGCGGGTTGGTTTGCTCGTTGGGTGTCATGGGAGAGCATCGGTGTCTCTGAATGGTTTTCCTGCCTTGGAGGGCAGCTTCATCCAAGAGGAAAGTCAGTTGTGAGCCCTACCTCTGGAAAAAAAACTATTTCCATGGGTAGTTGGAGTAGAACTGGTTAAAAGTTTAGAAAGTACAGAATTAAAGAGTTTTCAGTGAGAAGACAACTCGCCATCTGTCCGCGGTATAATGAAAAGACAGATACGATTTTCCACCCTTCACTGATGCACCATACATAGTGGATTTCAGCGGTACAGCCAGTATTGGTAGCAAATATTCAAGAAAAGAGCGTAAAAGCTATTCCGTGAGAAAAGCTTGTTGAATCCTGCCTTTAATCTGGGGCCAGATTATTATCTGGAGTCAGTTGGGAGTCAGCTGGAGCTGTGTCAATTTACACCAGCCCAGGAGCTGCCCGCTCGCGCGGCCGGCGTTGGGGCTGGGGAGCAGCTCCGTTTATTGTGAAACGAGGCGGGGTTTTTATTCGTTTTGTCCTGTAAATCCTCCTCTAGGGCAGCCGGTGCCTGCGGGTCGCTGGAGAAAACGGCAGCGCTGGGTGCTCGCTGCAAAGCGTGTTAGTCATTAGGCAAAATTGCAACTTGTTAATGAGTTTTGCACCCAGAGAAAACCATGACGGTAATAACGAGACGGTAAGCACAAAGCTCAGGAATGGAAGAAACTATCTTGACTAGTGATTTTTATTGGAGGAGAGAGATACAAATGCAGAGCATCCATCCCCGGAGTAATGGGGATGCACTTTTCCTGAAATAATCTTCCTTCGGGGCTGTATGTCGTGCTCAAAGCATCATTTCTCTGCTTGACAAGGTGTTTCTCTTCTGAAGGTGTCCACAGCTAAGTACAGTGAGGATCTTTATGCTCCGCAACTGATTTGTGATTCCAAATGTCCTGGAAGAGAAAGGGGGAAAAAAAAAAAAAAAAAAAAAAAAGAATGGGAGGGTATCAGAGCCTGCTGACTTTGCCTGGGCTTTCCAGAGATAAAATATAGTGTATTACTTCACTGTATCACCTAAACCTTCTTTGTTCTCCTTTCAATAGGACGATTAAACAAAGACCTACTAACCAAATTAAAGTATAAAATGAACGCTGAGATATGGAAACCTTGCCAGGAAGAATGTTAATGAATGAAGTTCACTAAAGGCATGCTGGCTAAGTTTTCAATACAAATAGTTTTATGGCCAATCTCTTTAGATCATAGCAGTTTTCTTTAGAAGTTTTAAGTCTCAAAAGTAGATGAGTTTCCTTCGCCGGGGAATGAATTAGATAATGCTCTGAATAAACTCCCTCTTCGCAGTCTTGTCAGTCATGCGACTTAGGAAACACTCCCTTTCTTCTGGGGACTCTTGGATCAGCTGTAACCTAAAAAGTAGAAAGCTGCTATTAATCCATGTGTGCTGTATGGCAGCGGAGGCTGTAACGGGAGATTTACGGCCGGCAAACAGCTCGTACCTGGCTGATGTGAGCAGGAGCCTTTAAACGTGAGCTGTGGCAGCTGACCCTGGTGTGCTTGCCCTCGAAGGTGCTGTTTCAGCCTGTTCAAGGTTTACGCCGGGTGAAGGGGGACTTTTAGCAGGGCCTGTTGCGATAGGACAGGGGGTGATGGTTTTAAACTAAAGGAGGGTAGAGTCAGACTAGATATAAGGAAGAAATTCTTTATGCTGACGGTGGTGGGACACCGGCACAGGTTGCCCAGAGAGGTGGTGGATGCCCCATCCCTGGCAACATTCAAGGTCAGGTTGGACGGGGCTCTGAGCAACCCAGTCTGGGTGAAGATGTCCCCGCTCATTGCAGGGGGGTTGGGCTGGATGACCTCTAAAGGTCCCTTCCAACCCAAACCTTTCTATGATTCTAAGATGCAGCCCTTTGTGCTTAGGGAGTCACCTTTTGCACCAGGACTTTAAATCCTGTGATGCTCTCCGGAGGGAGAGCAGAGAAGAGCCGGGGCTACCGGACCACTGTGCCCCCTTCACCCACTCCCCCTTGACAGTCTCCCCCTTAATTTTCCTTCCAGCCCTTGTTTGCTCCAGAGACCCTGACCCTTAACTCAGGTTTCTGGTGGCCAGTGCCGAAACCACAGCAGCTTGGCAGCTGCTGGATGCCTTGAACAAACAGGGACTTGCATTCAGATGTGGTGGCACCGAGCAGATGCTGATAGTTGAGATTTGGTGGAATATTGCTGCCTCGAGCTTCAACCAAGAAGGTCAATTTTTCAAAAAGCAAAATGTCAAGTAAACCCAGGATAAGTAGATCTTCCATGTATTTTTTAAAACACAAGGAGAAAGTCATTTCTTATGAACACAACTCCCTGTTACGTTCTCAGTGTGAGCGTTCCCATAAGGACTTTGAAACAGATTTATTAAAACCAAACAGAAAATAATTAGATTACTTTATTGCCTAAACAAGGGGATGAGGGAGAATCATAGAATCATAGAATCATTTAGGTTGGAAAAGACCTTTAAGATCATCCAGTCCAACCATTAACCTACACTAACAAGTCCACACTAAACCAATCAAAGGTAGACTAGACTAAACCATGTCCCAGAGTGCCACATCTACCCATTTTTTGAACGCTTCCAGGGATGGTGACTCCACCACCTCTCTGGGCAGCCTGTTCCAATGCTTGACTACCCTTTCCGTAAAGAAATTTTTCCTAATTTCCAACCAAAACCTCCCCTGGCGCAGCTTGAGCCCATTTCCTCTAGTCCTATCGCTAGCTACTTGGGAGAAGAGACCAACACCCACCTCACTACAGCCTCCTTTCAGGTAGTTGTAAGAAGGAGACTTAAAACATGTTTACAAAAATGTACGTTTCATCACCTGTCACGAGTAGGAATTTGGTTTATAAATTAGAAAGTCTTGCCTGTCAGTTCCTCCCTGAGCCAGCATGGTTTTGA